ACTAGGTGATCCCACACTACATCTTTACTCTAGGCTTAGTATACCAACACTCACTACACTTATAAGGTTTCACGGTGCACACACACCGATCATCTTACATATGCTATGAAACATTGATTAAATTTGCTGGTCTGTTGGGAATGATTCCTCAGTATTAGGTGGGTGTGTTTTCAATCAAATAACTGCATCTGAAATGACAAAGTTTCTGAGCACTCCATCAAACAGTTAAGTACAGCATCCTTGTATACCTTGGTCACACCTCAAGCCTAGCCATTAATGTTGATGAATCAGCAGAACTATTACTAGCACAAGCTTCATTAGACAGTATGATGTTATCAGTACAATTACTTTCCCTAATTATATGTTATATCACTTACAAAACTTCTTCATCCTGTCCTGCACTGTTCTTAATATTTTTGAAAGATATTTGCCTGCTGCTCTGCTCAGCTAAAAGTAGAGTCATTTCCTTTTTATAACTATCAATATTTAATGCATCATTCCTAGCACCATGTCTTGAATGGTTACCCAATCCAAAACCAAACTCATCTGTATCTTCAGTATCTGAAAAGCTAATTATGTAAGCCAAATCAATCTAGTTTACTTGATATGACACCAAGGGAGTTGGTAGCACGTATTTGCACATTAATGACCCACGAATTTCAATACTGCTCATATTTTCTTGTACATATCTTGTATTCATTCGTTAAGCCCCTAATACACTTATGACCAAAATAATGCAAACATATAGTATTTTTAAATTTTCTGTACTTGAACAAGCAATGTTAACAGTGCCATAGCTTGGCAGCAACACAACTGGTTTTCAATCTAGAAGCTGACTTACTCTCAGGAAGCACATAATATCCTTATTCTCAACTGGGGGAAAAAATTTAAACCACAGTTAATCAAATTTGTAAATTTGAACACACAATATTATCTTTTTTTTTTTATGAATTTGCTGTGGAACAGGATAAATTTTGTATTATAACAAAAACTGAACTACCATTTTAACTTTTTTTTTGCCTATCAACTAAGACATGAAACTATTTTAAAAATGTGGAATCGTTTAACAATAACGAACAAGCTAATTTGTCAAGTGATGTTACTGATTTTTTTAAACAATTTTGGCTGAATGTTGGATTCTAAGTTTTTTTGGGCTTATTATACTATGATTGATTGTCCATAATTTTAATATACTATGAACTATTAGATTATAAACATGGGGCAGTTAAAAAATATGTCTCCAGAAAAATTACTTTAAACCAAGCAAATCATATGAAAGTTAAAGAAGTTACAAAGAAATATTGCTTTAATTTCCATTTGAAAGTTATACTGTACTATTAAAGTAGCTACTTAATTTATTCAGCACAATATATTGATTTAATTCCAAAAGTAACACATTTCTAAATAATCAATTTTATAAATATGACCAGGGATTGACAAATAAAGATACACATGAAAGTGTGATAAAAAGGGTTTTAAAATTATCAACATTAATAATTACTAAATGATCTGGGTAATTATTTTTGTATGGATGTTACTCTCAGTATAGGTACAAACAATAACGACTAGTTTGATTACTGAATAGATTTATAAATCTTTGATGAACCAGATATACAGAAATCCATGAACAGCAAAATTTGTGGATAAGATTAGCAAAGGTTTAACTAGCATAATTAATCTTGGGTTGAAAAAATATCTATACAAAAATAAAAGTTTAAATAAAGATAAGTCTAGTAAATCACGAAGTCAGAAACTATAAAAACATAAATAATAGCACATTAAAATACTTTTAAGCAGTTTACCTACTTAACACATTAATATTAAAACATTTTGATTTTGTTCAATGTCAACAAAAATGCCTTCAAACAAAAACTAACACTACCTCATGAAATGTAACACCAAATACAGTAAAATAATTTCCCATATGAAAGTATTATAAAGATAACATGTTAAGTCTGGAAAACCATCTCAATATGAATTGCTGATAATCTGGTCAAAATTTTTAAACAGTGGAAATGTTTACAAGGCACAAACAGAAACTAAAACACAGACAAAACTGACAGCAAATCTTGACATGCACAATGATTATTTATGCACAACAAGGTCAAATACATTAAACTAGAATGTGCAGGACTATCAGAGATAATGCTAAGACAAATTTACTGAAAACATAAAGATAGAGATAGAAAGAAAAATGATTTAACTAAGTTGTTCCACAAGAAACATAATAACTCAAATGAAATATAAAATTATAAAGAACTTTTTCACAAACTTTAAAAAAAAAATAATAATAATTCAGAACTTTAACTGTAGCAGAAATTGTTCACAAACTCTTTTCTTCTAGCAATGTATCACCAAGCTAAGCTTTTTACCACTTCTTTTTCTGGCCTTTACACGAGTCCCTGCTAAACTGGAAGCCTTATCAGCTTTTAGAGTTCAAAAAAAGAGCTTTCATGATGTGTTTAGATTAGTAGCTTATGGCTTCTCAAAGCTGAGATACATAAAATTACAACACATCATGACAACCGATGTTGTAAAATAGGCTAAAAAAATCAATAAAAATTACACTTGTATTCAATTTACAACATTAAGATAAGTTCTATTTTGTTCAAAAATATATTAATTTTCCTCCCAGGGGCTACAAGTGCCATACTATAATCACAAAAATTAACAAACATGATTTTATTGGAAGCACTTTGAAAAACAACCCAAAATTAAAAGTTGTGATCTTTTGAGATTTTTTAAATATAAAATTAAATAAATAAGACTTTTATTTAAGAAATTTCAACTCTGAAGTTTCTTGTTCTTCAATGTGTGGAAAAACAGCCACAAGTTTATTTTCTTTAATTTTTGTGATTCAATAATACAATTTTGCTTTCAAGGTGAGTTGCACCCACCTGGGTGTGAAAGAGTTAAAAGCCTGTATCTCTTAATAATTTCATCAAGTAAATAAAATTAAAACTAGAAGATTCGAACACCTTTAATACAAGAAAATGTGACTTAATTTCAGCCATTAAATAAAAAGGCCTGAATAAAATTCCACATATCAGATGCATATTTTTAATAACCTAAATAATAAACTAAATTATGAAATACTGCCTCAAAAAAGACTTTACCCTTTTCAAAATTTTATTAATGATAAAACATGCATCTTAAATTTAACTAAATGTCATTTTTAAGTAGAACGTTGCCCAAATATCTAAAATTGTTATCAGGGTTTCAAATTAAACAAAGAAAAGCAAAAAACAAATGTAATAAGCTTATATAGCTACTTGGACAAACAGCGACACAAATTTCATCATTTTTCAACAACACAAAAATCATTATCTGAAATAGTATACAATATAAATACTACTTTATTATTTCAATTTGACACTTTTATTAAAGTTTCTCTCCTCATAGTTAAGTGTTTTGAATGAGGCTATACATTAATATATTTTTGCCCTGCTTCAAACTTCACAATATACAAAAATTAAGAATAATCATACCACTGTACAATATTCTTTTAAAAGACTATTAATAACACATTTAAGACACAACTCTTCAAATAATAGTAAAAAATTTAAAATCTTTGGAAGTTTTATATGGATTTCCAACATACACTATCTTCCCAATTTTGAACAAAATGCATATTCTATGACAACATCTTTTCATTCCTGATAAAATGTAATGTTCAATTACAATTACTAAAATCTCCCATCATCTGTACACTGAAAAGTTTTCCTAACATTCAATATTCATAAAGTTGAGGTGAATAAAAAAGTGATCAAAATGAGAAAGCATCATTTTCTATTCTGAAAACAAGGACTGGTATTCAAAGTTTTTAAACATCACTCAGTAAAAACAATTTCTAAATATACACATCATGCAAGTAACTATTTTTAATACTGAAAGAGTGACTTCATACCCAGAAATTACTTAGTACACAAATTTGGTGTGTCCCCACCCAAAAGACCAAAAGGGGAAATAAGTTTGGTGAATATATACATAACAATCATGTTGCTAAGTCTGTTAAACTGTCAATCTGCAAACATATATATGAGGTGTTCATATCTTTATTACTGTTAAAACATAAGGCATACCAAACAACAAATATATTTCTTCTCAATCTTTCATTATTACAAGAAAACTGTGACATCATTAACTGAACTGACAAATATATATATATATATCTATTGTTACATTGACCTAAACAAAAACTTGGAAGTGTTAGTGATGAAACTTATTTCAAACTACAAAAATACACCTTCTTGTACCAGCTACTTCAAACCATAACAATTACACTATAATAATTACAGTAAGCTCATATTTGAAACAATGGAGTAATTATGCCTTTTCTGAAGTAATATAACTCTTATATACAATATTAAAATATCTAAATACCGTAAATAGATTTAAGTATAACATATACAATTTAACTATAAATTTTAATTTATTTTTAGTATAATGACAATATTTACAAGCTGATTACAAATAGCATAGAAGAACTGTTCTCAAAAGAACATTCAGCCCAAACCACTTACCTGTTTGATATGCAGCAGTAGCAGTGTTGGTAGGTGAATATCCAACTTGAGCTGCTTGAGGGTAATAATTCTGTACTTTTTCATAAGTTGTCTGATGAGGTTAAATAAAATCATGTTAGACTAGAAGATAATCAAGTACCAAACACAAACAATAACACAATCTAATAAAAGAGTATGCAATCAAAAGCCTTAAGTGCAAAAGTTCAATTGTAATGGTTGAGCTTTTATTCATCTTTTTGAATCCCATGTTGTTGTGAGGGATGGAACTTTGTCCCACATCTTAATTGCTGTGATAGTCTTTTTGTCTTCTTATTTTCTCCTTTACTTTATGGGTATCATTTAAGTATTAAGCTTACAACAGACACACTGAGAAAAAAAAAGTAATTTCACAACATGAACAATACCCAGAAAGAAAAGTGCATGATAAAATAAGAAAAAAATCTACCACAACAACTCCAATATATATAAAAAAAAACTGCATCCCTTAAAACAAGAATAAAATCTGAATTTAAAGAGTATGATTGCAATGGTGTAATCTGGGGTTAAAAAATAGGATAGGCCAAAATTGTAGTCGATGAAATGGATGGGTTTTGCTGAAAACTTTGGCCAACAATATGATGAGGTAAGTCCAGGCCATTCTGGCCCAGGATTTATAATATTATTTATGATAAAAAAATATTTATTTTCAGATACTGTTTAGATAATTGGAGAGTTTATGTAATAAAAATAGTAAAATGTGTGACAAAATTTCAATTCCGTCATGTGCCACTACCTAAATTATATATATAAGCATAAACAAGCAGCTTGCTCTAAGCTTGCTAACCTTGTTTTTTGTATTTGCAATACCAGTATACAAGAAAACTTTTTTCCTTTTCTTAAAAAGTAACAATGAACAACATTAATACTTATTATGTATATCATTACAGACACTACCACCACAATCAGTTGTCTTATGCCAGCAAATGATCTAGGTTTTCTCCAATTTTAAATATGGAAAAGCACAGTCAACTGAGTTACAAAATTTTCACCCAAGTTATTGTGTAAACTACAATAATCATAATCATATGACAATAAAATAGGAAGAACACTTTGCACTATCACCCTTCACTAATAACCCTGATTGTATTCCTTTGAAAACTAAATAACTCCTAGTTTATTTTTTAACTCTTCCACTCTGATATTTAAAGATAAACAACATTCCCAGTACCATGTTTGTTTTCAAATACACAATAAACAAAAGATATATTTTATAACATTGTACTGCTTAACCCTATTGGCCCAGGTACCCTTTACTGCACATGACCCAAGGTTTTAGTGTCTTACATTCAAAATTTTATTAAACTACTTTTTGTTTATGTTATACCAATTATAATAGCATAAAGTCTTGGCTAATAATCCATACTTTAATAGTATACAAGTTTTAAGTTCTTAATTCTACAAGGAAATATATAAAAAAGTCCTGAATTTCCACTAGTGTAGCATACTTGATACATTTTGTCTAAGCATGTCATCACCCCTATTTTATCCATCACCCATCAAAAATGTAAAAAATTAAATGTAAAATGCTCTCTATAAAATCGTTTTTGCTCAAACAGACCATAATTTTTATAGCCTTCAATATCGTTTGGTTACAGAGCTATCAAACAGAAAATCCGACCCCTCCTGCCACACCCACCTGTTACATCCTCTCTTTCACAATTGGTTGATAGTTCTCTCTTATGTTTCATTATTTATTACCCATAACCAATAGAAAGTTGAGGCTCTCATCTATCAAATGGCATATTGTATAACATTGTGTTTTGAACAGATGACCATCAATTTCACTCTGAGTAGCAACATCGTTCCCTTGGAAAAGTTAACGACTAGCTTGGATGAATTTGTAACAGCTCTTGTCTACTTTTTGCATGTTATTAGTCTATATTATTTGATGTATTATTTAAGTAAATAAAATTGTTTTATCATAATCGCTAAAAAAAAATCAGGCTTAACTCTACTCGTCAATCAAGGGCAAGAAAAAAGAAGATTGGGTAAGTACTTTATTTCTTTTTTCATATTTATTCTTTATTTATTATTATAAAAGTAACTAAAACGAAAAGTACGGATCTTTTTAAGTTATTTAAGACTAGATTAGGTAAAATAAGTAATAATATAATTAAAATTGTTCATGAATCACGCATGCGAGCAGCTCATGGGTAATGTAATTCAATAGTGTAACGTGAGCTGCACATTCCCCAAGTGATTTACAACTTATAATGGTGCAGATAGCAGTTAGACATGGTTCAAAGGACAATAAAACAATAAAATTTAATTATAAATAGATGTATAATGTTACGAACTTAGAGCTATCTAGGATAAACGAATGTAGTTTCAGGTTACAATCTGAAGTCATAATAGAAAGAAAAGAAGGTTAATTTAGGTTTATTTCGATTTTTTTTTTTTTGGTGGTTACGAGGTTGGTCGAATTGACTGATCCAGTTTTGAGATTAGGATAGAGAAAATAACATATAAACTATAAGGATTTAGTGAACAAAAACATTTGAAATGCATTTAGAGGTTTTAGGGATAACACAAAGGAAATTTGAGATGACAAAAAGTATTTTTAATTTTAATATGAAAATTACTTTCCACACGGACTATTCAAAACAAATACTCAACATATTCATAGACAAAACTTTATTTTATTAGAAATATTTCACTAAGAAATATGACTTTTTGTATGTGAAAAACTTGTAATATTAACTGAAAGACTGCCAAATTTTGTTAAGATATACCCAATATATAGAGAGTTACAAGTATCAAATTTATATCAACTTTAAACGAGTACAAAAGGTCACGTGACTCGGTCAAGTGGACCGATCCCGTGTTGGGAGAGTTAATCAGAAACTTGAGACTGGTTAATTTTAGTAAATTTGAAAAGGAATACCCCTTCTTCTTGGTGGTACAATATTCCAAACTCAGTTACAATTAACTCTTTCACCATGGGCTCGGTCTCTGGGATCGAACTCGTTACCATTTTGCAGTTGTTATAGTTTTCATGCTATAGCTTTTAAATTAATAAGAGATTGGTAACAAAATTTGGCAGATTATCAGTAAACATTACAATGCTTTCATACACAAAATATCAAATATTTTTATTAAGTCTTAAGATTAATTAAGTAGTGTTTTTCTTATGCCTTTTTTTATATTCACATGTTGCCTATCGAACATGCAAGGTAATTTTCATTTTAAGATTAAAAATACTTTTATGAATCAGAAAGTTTTCAAAATTCACATGTGAAATCTTTATAATGCTAAAGTAGTTATCAAATGTTTCTTAAGAAAAAACTTTATATTTTATCTGTTATTTTCAATAACGATTATTTTTATGG